CAAAACAAAATCTGGCACAAGAAAGAAAAATATTTAAAGAGAAAAATATCATTCTGAAATACATATCTTAGAAAGTCATAGATATATTGATTTGTTTTTATTTAAAATATTTACCGAATGGCTACAGGTGACAGGGTCTTTTGCTTGTGTCTGAGTGTTGCAGAAGGCAGACACTGTTTGTAAGATCAGTAGTTAGGGACCTAAAAGAAAATGACCTCCACATTTCAGGTTTTGACCTGCTCATTTATTAAAAGGCAACTGTTGCATTTTAGTGAGCATTTCGATATATTCTTCTAGACAATTTTATAAAAGAGAAAAACGAGGCTGGGGGCACGGTGGCTCACACCTGCAATCCTAGCAGTCTGGGAGTCCCAGGTGAGAGGATCGCTTGAGGTCAGGAGTTTGAGACCAGCCTGAGCAACAGAGCAAGACCCAGCTCTACAAAATATAGAAAAAATTAGCCAGTCATGGTGGCGAATGCCTGTAGTCTCAGCTACTTGGGAGGCTGAGGCAGGAGGATCATGCGAGGCCAGGAGTTTGAGGCTGCAGTGAGCTGTGATAACACCACTGCACTCAGCGTGGGCCACAGAGGGAGACCCTGTCTCACTTAAAAAAGAAAAAAGAAAAGAAAAAACGTACTGTCTTAGTGCACTTAGAAAATGTATAATTCATATAACTTGCATTTATTCTTATGTAAGAATGAAATGCCAATAAATCATTGAGAAAAGAATTATATGTAAACTCAAAATAATTGACATATTAAATATATCAATACAGATTTTAAGCTTCCAATGCCACAAAGAGATAACTGTCTTCTTATTTATTTATCTATTTTTCTTCCCCCCCCTGCATTTTCGAGGTCCTTATTTTCAAATGAAGATAATCAAAATAACCATGATGACTTTAAAGTTGGGTTAAGGTCTTAAAATATTTCAACATTTGCACATGAGTAATTAAATTCCCAATCATCTCAAAGACATTCTATATGATTTATTGCAGGGTTTATTACTGCTTCTGACCAAATGTGATCCTTCATCACAGTCTCAGAGGTTATTCATTTCCTGGTTGAGCTGTCTAGTTTAAAATTTATTGCAGCAAATAGTATTCTCTTTTAATTATTACCATTTTATCCATTTGAATGGGTCCTTGTAGAATTTATGAAGTCAAATATCTCGTGTAAAACAAATACTGATGCACCCAACACCTCAAACTAATTGAATCCACTGCCTCCTTACTGATAATTTTTAAAAAATACTTCATCTTCTCCCAGCACCAGATTTCTTTTTCATTCTAACCCTTTACATGCTATTTCGAGAGACTGCTGACTATTACCTAAATATGTTCGATATCTGTTTTCTTGCAAAACCTATTTTCACGGTATTGACGTAGGTCCTCATATCACCCAAACACATACTCCTCTCGCTCCCCTTCACACACCCGTATTCCAGACAGGACTCACCCCAATCATCTCTCCTGCCACTAAAGGATCCGTCTTTCTAAGATGCAGATACTTATAGCAATGTGTCTCTTTTGCCTGAAATGGGTTCATATCAACCACAGGACAGGAGGTGGAGCCACAGACATTGCAGTTGGGGTCCTCCATGACCTGCACTGCCTACTCCTCCACCCCATGTTCTACCATGACGTCCCCTTCAAACTGCAGCTCCAATGTCCCATCTAGGGCAAACTATCCCGGGCCTCCTGTGCGACTTCTGTTCGATGACTATCCTGCTTACTGGTATGCTGAGTTGCAATCTTACGTTTGCAACTTTGATTGTGGGAGTATCTCTCCCACAGAACCGCCAGAGCCTTCAGAGCTGGGGATGCTCTTACTCACTGGGCACCTGCAGTGCCAGCTCAGAGGTGAGTGTGAGCGGCAACGGAAGTAGACGTGTCTTCCTCTAATCAACATAGCCACAACCAACTAGAAAACAGGTTTTCCTTAGTATCTGTATCTTTAAGATTGAAGGAAAACAGCCACAAATCTATGATAATCGTAGTGCCTTCTTATTTTTTAGACACTTTTGTGTTTCCAAATTTAACCTAAACATAACTTTTTGAATTTATAATTTTTGAAAGATTTTCCCTCATCATATTTTTTTGAGACAGTCACCTGGAAATAATTCTATTTGCATATAAGGAAGGATTCTGTTTAATTAATTATAAACAACCTCATGTATAGAAGTATATTCTAAGCTGTGGTATGCATAATGGCATTTGCCATGATTGATAATTCTTTTTTGCATGACTAGGCATGAGTCCCTTGGGAAGAAATGATTCTCATTCATTTTGTTTCTTTAGCGACCAGCCCACACAACCACTCAACATGTTTATCGGTCGATGGGGGAATGAATTCTACTACAGCACACAACTCACCAGGAGCAAAGCAGCTAAATCCCCACAAAGCTTCTTCCTAACTATGCTGAAAGAGCCCAAGGCTTGCTATAACTTTAGAATATATTTACACCGTGTAAAAGTTCTGCATTCTACAAGTAACAAAAGGGAAGTGGATAGTTTATACTAAACAAATCAAACCTCCCTTTATTATAGACTGCAACAGTTACACACACATTTTGTATTAAAGCTAAGTCAACTTTAATGCCTATTTAAGAATAAGGAAAAAAATCTTTGGGGTATAAATTGCTCATGTGGGTTAATATAACTTTTTGCTATTTAAAACTGTTATAATTTTTTCTCAATGGTCTTTATCCAGGTAATCACTCTCACAGTTTATTTTTAAAGCTTAATGTTATTTTTTAAATGATGAACATGCTTATTTCATTGTACCACATAATTTCGATGTTCAAAAATATCCTACTTTCTACAAAATTTTTATTTCAAGAATTACAACCAAACATGTGATGGAAAATATTTTATATTAATATTATAATTAAAGTACCATTTTACACAAATTGTAAATATCTAACAGATGACTAAAATAACTCTCCTACAGTAAATAAATTTAGGCACTTAAAATGAGGTTTCTTTCAAAATCCACATCTGCAATATTGTGTTTTAAGTGGGATTTCTTTTGGCAAGAAGCAATTCCACTTAAATACTAATCAGGCAGGTGGAAGGACTGGATTCTAGACCAACATTTTTTATGATTATTAAGTCAGTCAAACTTTTCTGTGTCCCAGTTTCAAAAACATAAAAATAAGCCATTATACCAGATTGTTTTTAAGGCCCTTCCAGGTTTTAAAGGTCAAAGTTTATGAAGAAAGAACAAGATCATATTGAATCTCCGGCTATCAGAAAGGTTGGCAGAGAGTGTAGACAATTGCGGGTCTGTTCTAGGAAGATGACACTACACTGGTATTCCATAATTTGAGAAGAAGCTCACACAGACCTTTCATCTCTGAGGAGCAATCTGAGAGAAGGCATCTAGCGTGCTTTGTGGGACATGACATCTGGGTGCAGGAGCCCACGTCCACGAAGCGGCTGCTTCTCCACCACGTTCTGCACGAGGAGGAGACTCTCGCGGATTGCGCCCCTCAGACTCCTCGCCCAGCACGGCCAGGGCTTCAGAAGGGTCTGGTTTGCAGCGCACCGTCTTTATTCCTGAGTCATTTACCGCGGCATTCAATAGCTCTGCCACGGGAGGCAAGGGGAGAAGGAAAGAGGGGACCAGACTCGTCCACAAACCATATTCCTGATGCCCTTTGTTCCTTCTCAACCCTCCATTGAAGGAGCAAGCCCCTCCTCCCTCTCACCGACAGCTTTCATGACCCCTCGTGCATCAGGGAGACAGACTGACAGGTGTGATGTCGCCTCCCACAAGTCCCTCTTATTACACGACAGTTCCAGAACATTCCACGGGGGCTCTGTTTCGACTCAGGCTCTAAGAGCTCAGGACATGATTTCAGGAGCTTCCGCCAGTCCGGCTCTAAGCCCTCTCCTGTGTTCTGACTGCTGTATGGGTCATGACTTTGTCACTGGCTTTCTGTTCCCAGTGACAGCAGGGCAGAGCCCACGCGGTGCTCTCTGACCTGCAGGCGGCCTCTCTCCAGCATTAGAGTCTCAGTGGTAAACAGAGTCAGAGAGCATTTAATGCAAATGAGAAGTATTTTTCTTCTCCTACAAAAAGTATTCTTTTAAATAAAATAAAATAACCATTCCCAAAGAGATAAGCTTCTTGGATCTATCTTTGCATTTATTTTACATTAAAAAAGAATTTCTGGAGATAAAAATGTAAATAATACAGGTTAAGTGTCTGATCCACTTCTTATGGTTAAAGACACATACAATAAATGTGATCAGTATCTATTACTGCCTTATATAATATCACGATCTATTATCTAACGAAAAAGAGAATAAAGGAAGCCAATACGAGTTTCCGCTCATAGATCATAATCATCTTTCAAAGACTAACATGTTACATTATGAATATATAAACCTCAATAAGACAAAACTATGAAAATTTCATGACTTGAAAGCCTTCATTTAAAATTAAAATACCTTATTTGAAAACCAGGTTTTTATGCACATGACAGATAAAATGCAAAAAAAAAAAAGGTATGAAATATTGAAATCGACTTTAAGCTCTAGACTTAAATGCCTAAAAGAAAATCAAATACGGACCTTACGGCTCAAAGAATGAGTTTTTCCACTAAAATAAGGAAAATGAGTTTTTCAGTAATGGATTTTTTTTTAAATGAACACAACTATCAGGAAGAATTGTTTCAAATCATAGACACACCAGAGGACACACTTTTTTTTTTCCTTCAAGATGACATACAAGTAAGTATGAGAATAACTCTCCCCAGAACATATCGAATGTTCGACCATTCCTTCATCCCGGCCGCAGAACAAAACCAAGCCTCCCACAAACGTCAGGAATGTCTGCATGGGTCGGCGGAAAGCCGCTTGTGTACTGTTACAAGCCAGTGTCCAATTTTCCCTTACCTTTTATCCTCGGTCACCGAGCGCTTAGTCACCTTCAGAGCCTGACTAGAGCAAGAGTGACAGGCAGGAGCGGGTGCGGGAGCGGCCTTGCTTACCCTGGCAGAGTGGCGGGAGCGAGTCCCACTGGTAGGTGCCCAGGGGGCCCCGTCTGCAGCTCGCTTCGCTGTGGCCGATGAGCCGGTGCCCAGGCTTGCAGAAGTAGCGCACGCGGCTGCCCGCGGCCCCGGCGGTCCCGTTGACGACGCCACCGTCCTTTAGCGCGGGGGCCAGGCTGCAGTAGGGCGCTGTGGGCGGGCAAACACATTCGTGAACAAGTAGTCGACACATGGACAGAAGACGGCCAAAGCCCCTTCCCCTGGTGGGCCAGGCAAACAGAATACCTCTGTTTTCTAAATAGCGGGCAGTGCGCACAGACCTGTGGACGTTTGTTCTGGAAAGCAAGTCTCTCTCCGAAGCGTACACCCCCTGCGGCTGTCAGGCGGCGTGAGGGCAGGTCCTGGCTACAGTATCGTTCATACGGTAGTATAATTTTTTTTACAGTTTTGTTTATTTATTACTGTAATTTTTAATTTTAGCATATTATGGGGGTACAAATGTTAAGGGTATGTATATTGCCTATGTCCCCCCTCCCCTCTTGAGTCTGAGCTTCAAGCATGTCCATCCCCAAGACGATGCACATCTTGCTCAGTATGTATGTATACACCAGGGGTCCTCAAACTTTTTAAACAGGGGGCCAGTTCACTGTCCCTCACACCGTTGGAGAGCCAGACTATAGTTTTAAAAAAATCTATGAACAAATTCCTATGCACACTACACATATCTTATTTTGAAGTAAAAAAACAAATGAGCAAAAACACCTGCATGTGGCCCGAGGGCCGTAGTTTGAGGACCTGGTATACACTCATCCCCTCCTCCCCCTCCCACCTGGCTGAAACCCGATAAACGTTATTCCTATGTGTCCACTTAGGTGCTGATCAGTTAATGCCAATTTGCTGGTGAGTACATGTGGTGCTGGTTTTCCATTCTTGGGAAGCATTCTACTATGCTTCACTTAGTAGAATGGGTTCCAGCTCTATGCAGGAAAATACAAGAGGTGCCATATCACCATTGTTTCTTATAGCTGAGTAGTACTCCACGGTACACATATACCACATTTTATTAATCTACTCATGTATTGATGGGCACTTCGGTTGTTTCCACAACTTTGCAATTGTGAATTGTGCTGCTATAAACATTCGAGTGCAGGTGTCTTTTTTGTAGAGTGTCATTTGATTTAATTAATATAGATAACCACTGGCAGAGAATAATTAAAAGTTCACAAAGGACAAAACAATTTGAATTTTGTTCTGTAGCAATCCAGCCGTTGTTACTATAAAGAGAATGGTCACACGGCTAGATACTTTCTGGACAGACCTTGGTATAATTATCTCTTCTTTTGTTCCCTTAACATTTAAACATATTTTAAAATTATTTTTGATCATATTTTTTTTCTTTTGGAGATGTCTTTGCTTTCTATGCTGTGCATTTCAATGGTTTGCAAGTTTAACAATAAAAATTTTAAATTATTAATCAACAAAGTTCCTAATGTTGTTTAGTGAGGAAGGACACCCTCGCCCATCTCCCCAAAGCTGGTGCCCATGGAAATAGCTTCCCCATTGCTAAAGGATGACAGCGGACTGCTCCACATTTGAAACAAACAAAAGTCCTCAATATTTAACAAAAAAAAGTGTCATTAAAATGGAGAACATAAAACAATATAATAACATTTTCATAATTAAGGTCATTAACTTTTTCCTTGGCGCTGCTGTTAAGCGAACCTTATGAATTGCACAAAGACACAGACATTAGCTATTTTTTAACGCATGGGAATGGAACACAATCTTGGAAGAAGATGTGCTACTCTGGGCCAATAAAAATCTTGCAGCAGCTCTAACGTCCCCTTTCCAGGGAGACTGTTTACAATTAGAGTCAGGCGTTTGTTACAGTGACAGTGTCACCCACAAGGAAGGCAGTGTTTGGCTGAAAACCCTGCGTGTCATTTACACAGTTCCTGGAGGAACTGCCTCCAGGGGAATTAAAACAGTCAAACCAAGAAAGTTGTTAAGGACTGGAAACTCTTGGTTTCTTTTTTTTTAAAAAAAGAGGTTTTAGATGTTCCACGCTTCCCTACGGGGCTTCTGTAGAAAAGCACGCACATCCGAATGCTGGATGTTGCACCTCTCCCTAGAAATAAATTCAGAAGCAACTTCCTGAAGGTCTCCCAGGGTAGCCCTGCCCAGCAGCGATGTCTGCACGTCCGGCCTCCCCTGTCCACCCTGTTCCTGGGAGAAGCATCTTTCATCCAGACAAGCTCTGAAGCACCGTTTTATCTTGTCTCAAATGGGCTGGTCTTTCTTGAGTGAAAACCCACTAACTGTTGTTAAGAATCTCTTGACTCACATTTCTGTTGGCTAAGCCATTTTCTGCCTCCGGTTGTCCTAGACCAAATTTGTGTGAGTTTTTTTTTTGTTTGTTTGTTTGTTTGTTTTGTTTTGTTTTTGAGACAGAGTCTCACTCTGTTGCCTGGGCTGAGTGCCATGGTGTCAGCCTAGCTCACAGCAACCTCCAACTCCTAGGCTCAAGCGATCCTCCTGCCTCAGCCTCCCGAGTAGCTGGGACTACACGTATGCACCACCATGCCTGGCTAATTTTTTAATATATTTTTTAGTTGGCCAATTGATTTCTTTCTATTTTTAGTAGAGATGGGGTCTCGCTCTTGCTCAGGCTGGTCTCAAACTCCTGAGCTCAAACGATCCACATGCCTCAGACTCCCGTAGTGCTAGGATTACAGATGTGAGCCACCTCGCCCAGCCTTTTGTAGGTTTTGAATGCACCAAAATATTTACTTTAGGGAAACTATGAGCACAACCAGCCACCCAGAATACTGACTGTCTGGATCATTGTGCTGGTTAAAAAATAAAAATAAAAAAATAATGGAAAATGGGAATAACCCTTAGACTACAGACCCTTCCCCAAAGTTAGGGATGAGACAATAAAGTCTGAAAGTCCATAAAGGGCAGAGAGACCATGAGGTCCTTTGGGTGTCACCATGGCTTATGACTCAGCTCAGTCTTTTAAGGGAAAGGGGTTTGCAGGATGTCATCTCACTCCCTGGGTGCTGGTAACGGTACGTTGTCTTTCATTGGTTCTTCTATCGCCTCTTCTCTCTCAGCTCACCAAGGACAAAACGTGAAGGTGGCACATGACAGAAATCACAGCGAGGGATGACGCAAGGGAAGGTGGGACACACCCCTGCCTGCTCAAGTTCTGGCTACAGTAAACATAGTTCAGGAGACCAGCGCCCAGTCCTTGTGCTGCACTGGCTGGGACTTGGAAAAGCAGGGGTGTGGACTAGAGAGCCAGGTAGGGAACCAGGGATCAGGGAGACCGGGGCAGTCAGACACCCTGGAATTCCCCGGGTGAAAACCAGCCTAGCCTATCTCTTTCACGCTCCCAGCACGGAAGCTTACACTGAAACGAAGTTATTAACTCAGCGTTCCCTGAGCAATGTGTATTGAATCACCTGGAAATACCCTGAGACTGGCACTTGCTTTATCTTTTTTTAAACTCGATTTTCAATTACAGTGATCAATTATATTGCTCTTATGCCGGAATGATCAGTAGTTCACGTGTGCAACGCAAACTGAGGTTGGAGATGCACTATGTGGCCATGGGCTCATGTTAGTATGGGCTAGAGGTCCCTTGCCCACATGGTAATATTTTAGGAGTACTTTCATTTCATCAGTGGTCAAAAATAACTGGTGGTGAACTCCTAGCAGAGATCCCTGAATTGCTGAATTGTAAGGTTTATATCACAAATTATATACATATCCACATACAACACACACACACACACACATATATAATCCATGTATATTTCCACTGAAATAAACATAAAATTATACCATCTCCTTCTCCAGATACAGTCGAACAAAGAGGATCTTGTTGCACAACAAAGAAAACATCCCTTGAAAGATTTAGAAATCACTGTTCTCAGAATTCAAGGTACAATCCTATCACCAGGCAACTAAGTGATTTGCTGTAGATGAAACAAGCTATATCACATTCACCGTGACTCCCCTGCACTGACCATTTTTGCACATAGGGAATCAATTCAAACAGCTTTGGAAGTCTAATTATGAACCTGTGTTTTGGAGCAAGGAATTTGATGAATGCAAATCCCGTCGCTGTTCTTGGGCTCTTCAGAACAAAGGTCTGAGCACGTTTTATGAAACACCCCAGAAGAGGAAGGTCTGAATGTCGTGCCCCTTGTTCCCACATCAAGGCCTTTCAAAACCTGATGCTCATATAAGTGGAATCATGCAATATTTGTCTTTTTTTTTTGGTTGCATTTTATATCTTTACCTCTCCCTAGCAAGGGTTAGAGTTATGCCCTTCCCTTCCACAATGCTCACCTGAATATACTTAACACTACTGAATTGTACACTTAAAAATGGTTAAGATGGTAAATTGTATGTTATGTATTTTTTTATACAATAAAAAAACTAAAAAAAAAAAACCCTTGATGCTTTTAAACATTTCCTGATGTCTATGAACTAAAGACAGCTGAAACTTTACTCTTAAAATCACCCCAACACTGAAGTGTTCCTCCCTCAGGGTGTTTCTCTTCACTGAAGAATTAAAACGCCAACATAGGAATAAACAATCCCTTGCATTGTCATGCACTGTTCACTTTGTGTATGCAATGGGCATCTTTCTTGGGGAAATGCAAACTCAAATGTTTTAGGTCCTGTTGAGTGAGATTTGAGAAAAGTCTAGATGTTTTGCTTAGCAGCTAAAATATCTTCAGCAGTTAAGAGTCTGCTCACTGCTCCTGTAGGGCAGCACAGACACCGGCGCGGGTCACATCGTGTTGCTGACTGTGCACAAAATTTAACATGCCATAAATGTATTGACTGATTTAATAAATTTGTTAATTAACTAATTTAATTAATATAAATAACTACTGGCAGAGAATAATTAAGGACAAAATAATTTGCATGGCTTTCTGATAGCCCCTCGTACAATTATTTCTTCTGTTTGTTCCCTTAACATTTAAACATACATTAAAATTATTTTCGATTATATTATTTTTTTCTTTCAGAGATGTCTTCGCTTTCTATGCTGTGCATTTCAATGATTTATAAGTTTAACAATAACATTTAAAAAATATTGATCAACAAATTTCCCAATGTTGTTTAGAGATATTGCTCACAGTAATTTCCCATCATACTATTTCTATTGCCTTTAATGATCAATCTCCAGAAATTAAGTTTATATTGTAACTCTCTGTTTAAACTGTTTTTATAGAATGAAGATCACTTGTATCCGAAACATTTTCGTGTTAAATCTGAGCTCCATTTACTTACCTGCATAACGAATCTTGAATCCCTTTTTACTGGTTGCGTGATCTGTGGACCAGCGGAGATACAACTCGTTGCTCTTGCTTGTGAAATTGGACTGTTCGGTGTGGTTTCCACTTAGGACTGCTAGCAGAGGACTTTGCCCAGAAGAACCTAAAGGAAACAGAGACACGAGAAGGGTTCATATGTGCGTGAGCATCTGCAAAATGCAGATCGTTGGCTTTTGATCCAGTTAGCTTCTATAAGTACAATATACAGCTATTTATCCCCCAAACAGACAAAGGATTCTAAATGACCATAGCAACAAATTCCCTGATAAAAATAAAACAACCTACAAAAATAATTTCAGGTGCACATTCTATTAACAACATAATATTTAAAGTAAACGAACTTTGTTTATAAAACAGCAATAACTGAAAAAAAATGAAAGTTAATTTTTATGATTGTTAGTATTTGCAATATTGCATTTATGTAGGAAAATAGAAAGCTTCATGCAGTCTTAGGGGAGCTACATTAGTACAATCACTTTAAGGAGAAATTTGGTAATATTCAGTAAAATTGAAGATTTCATTAAATTTCTATAAACTCTATACATACAGAAGTATTATTCACATATCAAAAATGTGTATTCTAGAATTATTTCTCATGGTAAATTTTGGATCCAAACTAGCATTTTAGGGTTTAAAAGAAGAAGTGAAAATGCCATAAAAAGAAATCAGATGCATACAGCATTGAATTTAACCAACCAGATATATACGTATCAGCATAGTCAGTTCTTAAAATAGCACACTGATGACTAAAATTATCTATTTGCAGGTGAATAAATATGATAGCGGGAGTGGGAGCATGAGGTGGTCACCCCTGTGGTGGCCCAGGCACCCATCTCCCCCAAAAAAGATATGATATCAATTATGTAAAAATTCAAAAGCAGGCAGTACATACAATGTGTGCATGTGGGAAGGGAATGAATTATAAACATGCACTACAACGACCCATTGGACTCTGATTTTGGGATACTAATTTCCTCCACGAGAGGTGCAAGGGGAACTGGATAATCATGGAATCTCTAAATTTACCTGCACACCTCACTTTTTATAAAATATGAGTAAATTTAAATTTGGTAAATTTATTATAAATTTAAATTTGACAGCATCCTAAAGTTCATATTTATTTTTAACATCTCTTCCTCTTTCTGTATACAGTATTTGAAAGTTTTCAAAAAAATTAAGGAAATAAAGTTAAGATTAAATACATAATCAAAGCAAGTGCAATGTGTAGTTGACTAGCACAACACTCGTCACCATGATCTGACACTATTTATTGCCGTCAGACTTGAGGGTCTCCTTGGAGATGCCACTCTATTAGTGAACTCCACGCTACCTTGTGGTCTTAGAAGCTTCTGGGGCTTTTCTGCACTTCACAGTTCACTCCCAGGAAACGCATTAAAGACTGGGAACATGAGGCTCTCATTGCTATTTGTGATATAAGTGTCATCAAAGAGAAGTGGCACCTACCTTTGATAGTTCCATGCAAAGTTTTTATTTACACCAAGATACTGAGACACCACCACCCTTCATTCATTGTGTCACTCCCAATCAGAGCAGTTCTAGAGTTTTCTGTTTCCTCAAAAATAAGACCTACTCATAAAGCAAGCCCTAGCAGGATGTCTAAGCATTTGCACAATAGAAGCCCTACTCCAAAAATAAGACCTAGTGATGGGCGTGGCTACACTGCATCTGCACAACCTATGCATTTTGTTGCTGAGTGGTAAAGAAGACAAGCAGTCCTTCTCATCCACCCTATGAGAGTTCTATGGCTCGACATGAGAGATGGGGGCCAATGGTTCTAAAGGAAACATAGAGTTGCAAGAAATTCAGGATGGAATTCAGGATTTGGAGAGTTAGGATGATGTTCCAGAAGAAGAGACTTAACTCTATTTGAATGTAGATGGTTGTACCGTACTTAAAAAAATAACACCTCCCCTGAAAATAAGCCCTAGGGTGTCTTCTTGAGGAAAAATAAATATAAGACTCTGTCACATTTTCCAGGAAACACAGTATGCTGAAGTCAGAATGTGACCGTCCTTACAAGAAAAGAAGTCGGGGCCCAGAAGCACATGGAGCAGACACGGAAGGAGGTGGCGCCTGCAACCCGAGCAGACAGGCCCAGGCCAGCCCGGCCCTGCCGACCCCCGCCCCCAGAACTGCGAGGAAGCACGTTCCTGCTTAAGCCACCCAGCGTGTGGTACTTTGTGACGGCAGCCGTGGTACACACACATGTAGAGTATTAGATACAGAGGATCAAGGCGACCTTGCCGTGGTCAGTCACGGAGGACGAGGAGAAACAAGCCAGCTCTTGTTCAGAAGGAGTGTCGCGGTCAGTGTCCTGAAAGGCACCCTGCACGGTACGGCTGTGTGTCATAGCCCAGGAAAGCAGAGCTGTGTTTCGTGTGCTGGGTTATTTGTCAATGTTTGAAGAGATAATGTGCAAATTGCACATGCCACTGGGAAATTAATTATCCCGAATTTGTGATATTTTTAAAATGTCATTTCTAATGACAGAACTCAAGAGTGAAATTTTTAGGTGTTCTTAATCCAACATCTAATCCCTCCTTACTTTCCCATCTGTTCTCTTTGCCTACAATGTAGCAAACTTTCCAGAAGGATTATTCTCTAAAAGCCAACTTCTAGCTGGGCAATATGCAGAAAACTAGCACCACTATAAAGGAGAACAGTGGTCACTGTTACCAAGATGAAAACTAAGTATTTTGCCAGTGAACTACAATCTTAATTTTAACACTATTCTCAGCTGAGTTCTATAATGACTAAAGTCCTGTTTTTAAAAATTATGGAATGTCTACTACTTGAGCCATAGAGAGTAATATACTCTGGGGCTAACACAGTTTAAAATCAAGGTATGCAACATGTTTTTCGTCAAGCCATGACCTATAAAAGAGCCCCTGTCTTAAAAAGAAAACAAAAAGGAGACAAACGTGACATTTGCTGCAACAAAAATGCCATTGCTTATAAGATTATTCACATAAAACTCTTTTCATTTTATAGAAAAATCTTTGAAAGAAGCACAGCTCTAGTCATGGATCTCTGACAGTCTTGACAGCAACTTTTATGATACTGTCTGTTTTGCCTATTGTTTATAATGGGTGTGATCTGTCCAGATTTGGGAGAGAGATCAAATCGGAAGCCAATAGTTCGTAAGTTATTGACAAGAATTCTGCTCCTGAAATTAAAAGACACGAGCCAGGTGCGGTGGCGCACACCTGTCATCCCAGCACTCTGGGAGGCCAAGGCAGGAAGACAGCTCGAGTCCTTGTGTTGCTAAAACATAACGGTGTTTTCATCCACGATGAAATCAGGTCCCTGGTATACAAAGACTAAAGAAACTTACCATCAAACACTTCCAGGGCATCAAATTGCTTTTCGCTCTGAAACATGTCCACGAAGAGGGTGATGTTGTAGTTCGGTTCCACTCGGATGCTCCAGGAGCAGGTCTGGGAGTTGAAATAGTTGCCTGGGTACCCCGGGCTGAGGATGACTCCGGATGACTCTGTCCGGACCTCGTTCGCCGGGCATTGTGCTGAAGAGAGAAGCACCGGTGAAGGTCTGTGTTAGCAAAATGAATCTGAGCTAGCAGGATAGTTTCTGTCCCTCTGAACGCAAGCCAATGAAGAGAAGCAGCAATCTCATGGAGCATGGACCAAATTTAACACCGGACGCCCACGTGGCGGGAGTGTGACGGTGGCAGGAACTAGTATCAGGCAGCTTTGCCTTCCCGTCAGGTCCCCTAAGCCGGAGCATCCTGCGGCCCCTGTATCCCTGACTCACCTCAACTTGGGGCAGGTGCATTGTGGGTTTCCGAATAATATCCAAGTTTCCCCAATGCCACTGCAAAGAAGGACCTCACCTTTCCAATACATACTAAAATATATGAAGTTTTACGCAATAAAACAAAAATTGCGTTTATGTCAGTTTTTTCTATGCCTCATCCCCAGTGGATGCCTGACACTGGGAACAGCACGGAACCCTACGTGCCCTGGGGTTTCCCTGTACGGTCGCGCTGTGCAGGGCAGAGAGCAGGCGCTTCCTGGATGCAACAGACAGAGTGAGGACTCGAGCGCCTGGTAGTCAGAGTGGGGCAACGTGAGATTTCATCACACTGCTCATAGTCTCATGTGATTTAAAACGTTTAGGAGTCCTTTCTTTCTGGAATTTTTTTGTTTAACATTTCCAACCATGGTGGACCACAGGTAAATGAAACTGCTGAAAGTGAAACCTCAGATAAGGGAGGTGAGGATTACTATACTTAGAATAATAAAATTTAAACATTTGCTGAGACTGCCTGGACTCTGGGAAAAGGGTAACTCGGAGACCTCGACTCAAACCCGGGGTGCACACCTCACTTCCTCGCTTGTGCAGCTGGAGTCTGATTGCAAAGGGATGGACTCTTTGCAAATGTATCGCTAGGATATTACAGACATTGACACCCTTTTCTCCTCCTGCTTTCTTTCTTTCCTTACTGAACTACTTCCAGGTTAATACAGATAAAAACAATCTGCACAGGTATGAACATGCAAAAGAAAAGCACCAAAGAATCCCTTAGTAACTAATTTCTCTCATTGCAAAATTAAATTGTCTTCCAGAAACAGTCTGCTTAAAGAACTATTAAGGAGTAAAAATATCTATTATTGGCATTGTTTCATAAACACAGATGTACCAAAACTATTTATAGAGTTTTGGAAAAGTTTGATAATTACCTTTTCCTTAATGAACAAGAGCTTTTGTTAAAAGAAATGTGTTTTGCTCTTCATCTATTTTCAACTAGTTAAATGTATATTATTTACTCATACGTTTCAAAATAAAGACACTTCTCAAACAGAGAAGCAAAGCTTATGAAATATATTTTGGTTTGAGTAATTTAAAAAGCAATTTATGTCCCATTTTCTTTCATTTACTTTATTATTCTAATTGAAATGCACCTTAAAATTTAGAAAACATGTAGGTATAAGACCACCAATGATGAAGCACTTCATAGAATTCTTTAAATAAATATACATTTTAGGTGAGAGTTTAAAAATATTTTTAGTGATAAATTAACGGCAATAATATTGATGTAAACAAAAATAATCCTATCTTGAGCATACAGATTAAAACACCTGAGTTAAAAGTACTATTTTTTTCTCATGGGATGGTGGGCAGATCACTTTGTAAAATTTATTATGGCCATCCAAAAGTGAGCATGCTGACACTTTAAGAAGAAAATGCAGAAAAGAAGTCAAGAATTTGTGCCTGTGCCATCCGTGCAGTCCAGGGCCTGGAGTTTCAGAAGCTCCACAGCTCTGCCGTGACTTTGCAAGAAGAGCCTTTCCTGGCTCTGATGTAAACAGAGGACGATATTATTATGTAACAGCTGCCCCCTGGGGGATGATTAGCTACAACAGATGCACACGTTTTCCTTAAATTGCAAAGCACTGTATGGGCACTAGGTGTTAGAGGGATTAGGGATTAGTAATTAGACCACTGCCTGCCTTTTCCTGACCCCAAAATGCTACCGCGGCACATGTCATTTTTGTGGCAGGACACTTAAAAAGTACTTAGGCAATCTCTCCACCCTGTACATTCATGGGGACTGTGATTTTATCACTGTAGCTATAGTTACTAGATGGCATTGGAACTTCAGACCATCTGGAAATGGGCAACCTGCCACTGAGTTGCTAAAATCCACCTGGAAAACCGTCAGCGCATCTCAGGGTTTGGAGGCAGAGCTGCGATCCCACATCGAAAGCAGCATTTCACGCTCAGCCATGGTCATGCCTGTCATTTCTGAAATGTGCTCATTTTGATGCTTAGAGAAGACATAACGAAAATATAAGCAAAATTATTTGTATTGTCTTTCTTACGACATCGATCTTTTATTCAGACCTACATATTGTTTTAAAAATACACTTGAATGTTTTTGCCTGGGAAACAAAGTGATTATTTTTTCTCTTGGTTTCGCCTGGTTTGTCTTGCTCTTCCTTGGGTACCTATTCCTCTGTGTTCACTGCTATAAACTGTTGCTAGGAGCAACGCCCACGCGCAGGGGGAGGCTTCAAAGGCCCGAGTGCTCCCTGCGGCGGAGTGGCTTGTGTCTCTGGCTGCGACTGCACTTTAAAACACACGTGGGAGTCCGGGAAGCCTCCCACGGCAAGGAAGCACCTGCTCGGGGGTCCTGTCAAAAACACACCTGAAAAGGAGATGCCACTTTTGCTCCAAGACATCATCCCTCTGTACAGCATTATTTCTTTAGCTTATTTTCGAAGCAAAAATCAAATGTGAGGCTCAAAACCCTAAAGCACCTTATTCAATGCATCTTGCAGGCCCTCAGGAAAACTAATACCATGTTTCCCCAAAAATAAGACAGGGTCTTATATTTATTTTTCCTCAAGAAGACAACCTAGGGCTTATTTAAGGGGATGTGTTATTTTCTCCTCAAAGCCTCAGCTTGCAGCACGCACAGGGTGGCCGGGACCCGACTGGGGAGCCGACCTTGTTGGTGGGGCTGCCCACACCTTTCCGGTCACCTCTGGGATAGTCGCTGTCACGATGAGGCAGATGAGAAGGGCTGCTTGTCGTCTTTACCGCTCCGCAATGGAATGCACGGGTTGTGCAGACGCGCTACGTAGCCACACTGTCACTAGGGCTTATTTTCAGGGTAGGGATTCCATTGCCCAAATGCTTAGAAATCCTGCCAGGGCTTATTTTATGGGGAGGTCTTATTTTTGGGGAAACACAGTATTAATATAAGATGAAGATTTGTGATGTAGGATGAGTAACATGAATCAGGATTTACAGGTGATGAAGATTAATTCTTAAAAGCGCCGACAGGTAGGGGAGAGTTGCAGAAACTGAGGATGCTCTGCCAACAGGTGGGAGAAGCTGGCACCAGAGCCCTAGCTACTGCTCATGTGCAGAAGGAGGCCAGAGCTGGGCGCAGGCTTCTACGCAGCTTTCTTCTTTCGCTTTCCATGGTGGCCGTTATCTGAGGGTCATGATTCCCTTTAGTGTTCACTGATAATGTCTGCTTCTAATTTTTTTAAAATTAATATTATGAAAACTACTGATGGATCTCCATGGTTTACAGGACAAAGAAACCTGACATTGAAGGCCTTTTAACACCTGGCCTTATTTTAGGTTTTCAGCCCCACTAAGTACCTCTTCCCCCAAGACACCCTGAGACTAGCAGCTGGGAGCCACGAGCCCTTTTGTTTCCAGACCTTCCTTATTTCCCTGCCCTCTGTGAAATGTTTCTCTTTCCTCAATGTGAGAAAAGTCACTTATATGACATCCCTTCCTCAGGTTTTTACCAAAGTATCTAACACAGTAACGTCTGCCTATTGACAAAGGACAAATGACTCTCCTTGTCTCTCCAAGGCCTGTGGGTGTATTCAAAGCAGAACTGCCAAAAGTGTGCTTGTGACATTTGAAGAAGCGGGGCTCAGAGCCCCCCCTCAAGAATTTATTGGGAGATCGGCCCCCCACTGGAGCCCAGTCAAATCAATTGAATAACAGAACAGAACCTAAGGCAACACGCTAATTAAGTGCATAAGTGGCCATGGATGTGCCAGAAGACACCTGAGCTCTGCCCTCTATCTTTAAGAGTTGTTCAGAGCGTGACAACTGGCATCGCTCTCAGTTCTTCTTCAACGCATTGATGAACTGAGCGAGAAGAGAAGCAGGTTGTGCTGTAGGGTGCTGGCTGGGAGTTCTGCAGGGCATGGGAGTCTCCAGCAGCAGCACAGAGGGTGAGACTTTGTGCTGAATGCTCCCTGCAACGTGCGTGACAGCCAGGGCATTTAGAGAACGGCACTCATGATGATTTGCAGTCCTGGGTCACTAACAGCAAGGATGTGTTCTGAGAAATGCAGCCATAGGCAACATTGTCACTGTGCAAACATTGCAGAGCGAATGAGCTGACACACACCTGGATGGCGGAGCCTCCTCTGCACCTGTTGCTGCCGGGCTGCCCACCTGTGCAGCAGGCTGCTGTAATGCACTGCCACTGTGCTATCACAGTGCACTGCGGCCCAGCAGGCAACGGCAGCACAATGGTCAATATCTGTGTATCTGAACACCCCTAAACACAGAAAGGTAATGCGTTGTGCTATGGCATTTCAGCTGCTAGGCGTCACCAGGTGATGGGACTGTTTCAGCCTCATCACAATCTCAAGGGACCACGTTGCTACAGGTGGCCCATCGCTGACAAAAATGTGGTGTATAGCCGTGCCCTGTTCTTGGATCGCTATGATTCAAACTTCACCTAAAGAACCTAAGAACTAGGTTAATCCAGGGAAGGCAACATCATAACAGCAGATTTTCTCTCTAGAGTTGCCTCAGCTCGTTTTTATATAAAATGGCAAAAAGTGAACATTTTCTTTCCACCCCTAACCTTCAGGGAAAAAAAAAAAACTCTATAAGTAGATCACTGTTGCTCTAATAACATGGCACCATGTTTCCCCCAAAATAAGACCTACCCATGAAATAAGCCCTAGCAGAATTTCTAAGCATTTGCGCAATAGAAGCCCGGCCCCAAAGATAAGCCCTAGTGATGGCGTGGCTATGCATGCATCTGCACAACCCATGCGTGTCGTCTCGGGGCAGTCAAGAAGACGAGCAGCCCTTCTCATCTGCCCCGTGAGAGCTCTATTGCTCGACATGAGAGATTGGGGCCAATGGTTCTAAAGGAAATAGAGTCGCAAGGAATTCAGGGTGGAATTCGGGGTTTGGACCGTGATGATGATGTTCCAGAAGAAGATGACTTCACTATACTTGAATAAATGTAGATTGTTGCACCATACTTAATAAAAATAACACATCCCCTGAAAATAAGCCCTAGGGTGTCTTCTTGAGAAAAAATAAATGTAAGACCCTGTCTTATTTTGGGGGAAACACGGTATACATAGAAGCTGATTGTTTCTAAGAAGACAGTTTTTCAACTCTTCCTTCTTTCAGTGGCACTTTCAATGGTGCCTATTAAATTATATTAAAAAATAATCTAATTGCATTTGAATTGATTGAATCAATGCATTCAGACTCAAACCTTGTGCTATTATTGTATGTTGTCTATGTTCTTGCACATGATCTACAGACTTCAAAGGCATGCAAATAAAACGTGAGATGTGTGCAGTTCATTGTTTATAAAGTTTGCATCAAAAACACTAAACACCGGCTTATTGCATTCATTCCAAAGCACTAGGAAGAAATGAAGCTATGCTCAGATTTACCTTGAAATCATCAAAAATATGTGATAACTTAATAGATGGTTGGAAAGATAACAGAGAAGATAGTCATGTGATAAAGGGGGTATTTTATAAGTATTCGTGGTGGAACCCAGGTGGTGGGCATTTAGGTGCTACATTATTCAGCTCTTAAAATCCTTTCAACTTTGCTATAGGTCTGAACATTTTCATGATACATTGTTGTGACAAACACAAAGCATGATTTCTTGTTTAACGTGGCTTTGATGTATTTCCAGGGCTAGCTAGAAGAGAGAGGGCTGTGAGCAGGCAATTGTGATTGCAGCAGGATCATAGCACAGGGACAGAGATTCAGCTCAGAGAAATTCAGACCGAGACAAAGGATATCACTTTCCGTGTTGGATGACACATACCTTCGCAGGTCGGGAGGGAGCCCTCAAACTGCAACTGGGCGCTCAGCTTGCAGGTCAGGGTGTCCGTCCCCACCAAGGTGTAGCCCGGGTGGCACTGATACTGCACAGAGTCTCCTGGGAGGGGGTCAACACACAAGACAAGGGAGTTGTGTTTCTGTGATGTGCGGAGTGTGAATGCATCAGACTGACATGACTACTTCACGGATTAAATCAACGTGCATACCTGCTTAGAAGCCATGCCTGCATTTATTTCTCACCTGATTAAAAAAATAGCACTGTTTTCAGCTCTTAATTTACAAAAGTGCTATCTTAAACTTAATCAGTATTAGTACAGAAATTATGTGGCAGGTTTTTTTTTTTTTTCCTTGACTGATGCTTCTATGCTGATTCCCCTTCAACAATAACTAACAATTTTTTTTCTTTCTTTCTTCCTTTTTTTTTTTGTTTTTTTGAGACAGGGTCTCATTCTGTTACCCAGGCTAGAGTGCCATGTCTCAGTTATAGCTCACAGCAACCTCAAACTCCTGGGCTCAGGCGATCCTCCTGCCTCAGCCTCCCGAGTAGCTGGGACTACAGGCATGCGCCACCATGCCCGGCTCATTTTTTCTACATATATTTTTTTAGTTGTCCAGCTAATTTCTTTCTATTTTTAGTAGAGACGGGGTCTTGCTTTTGCTCAGGCTGGTCTCGAACTCCTGAGCTCAAACAATCCCCCTGCCTCGGCCTCCCAGAGTACTAGGCAAGATTTTTTTTTTAAAGTGAAATACATGCGTATGATTTAAGAAGTTTGAAGACTAGGAAGGCTTTAGTGCAAGCAGAGAGGCTCGTCCAAGACCTTGGCCTAATTAGCACAATGTTCCAACACACTGAGCCATGATAAGTATAGCAGGAATTGTGTCACCTGGTCTAAGCAGGGGTCTGAGACTGACCCCAGGTGAGAACAGGATGGAGTTTTTTACGTGGGGCAGAGAAATCCTGCGTCACCATAATTATATCACAAACATACGTCATGGCTACTTTCTTAATATGATCAGACGATTATCTAATGAATTATTCCACTAATACAAAATAGTAAGGCAGAATTTCTAAATACGATCATCAACTCTATTCTATTATTATATTCCAGTTTCAATGAAACATCAACGTTATACTAGCCATTCTTTTACACACAAATGTTAAGTTCTTCCTCAAGTGCCTGAACATGTCTCCAAACTTAAATCCAAGTATCTACCCAAGTCTGCCTCTGAAAACTTTATTTAAAAAAAAATTAACTAGAAAATGTTACAGAAGAAAAAAAATGCTCAAAATGACAAAAGGAAAATTCAAACGGCAAAACAAAAATAAAACTTGGAAATAAGACAGAAAACCATTTTCTATGTGATACAAGAATAAGTTCCCAGCAATGCTTTAAGGATAGTTGTTTTCTGACAAATGATCTCGGGGGTCCTCAAACTTTTTAAACAGGGGGCCAGTTCACTGTCCCTCAGACTGTTGGAGGGCTGGACTATAGTTTAAAAAAACTATGAACAAATTCCTATACACACTGCACATATCTTATTTTGAAATAAAAAAAAAAAAAACGGGCAAAAACACCCGCATGTGGCCCATGGGCCGTGGCTTGAGGATGCCTGCTATCTGTGAGTCTGACCTCCCCAGTACGAGGCGGATATAAAAGAAGTCAGGGTGAGCTCGCGGCACCGCAAGGAGGGAAATATTACCTATTTCAAACTCGTCGTCCTCGGCGAGCATGTCTGCCTGGGGGACGGCTGGAGGCGGGGGGCATTTCTTGAGCTGAAACGCTACACAGTGAATGGAAAGGAGATCACTGCAATCACATTTGCTGAAGAAGCACACATTTTACCAAAAGAACCGCATTCCTCTTAAACCTGTTACCCTGCTGAAGTGCACTGTAGTGACTGTATAAATCGTTGGTTTACACAATTCTGAAGCTTCCGATGCTCATGTGACAAGTTAATGCCAAGGGATAAGGTACAAAAGAGTGCACAATGAATAAAATATGTAACATTTAAATAAACCCACTTTGCACATATTTGGAATTTGGCAAGAGAAACAACGTGGCCATGGCTCCCTGTCCACGTTTAAATTTGACACAGTCCCCTGTGTCCCTTGTCCTGAGGGATTCTCCAAGGGTGGCAGAGTCCCTGGGAGAGAAGGGACTCACTGGTAGACTCTGTCCCCTAGGGCTTGGAGCTCGTTCTCAAGGTTAGCAGGGGCTGCTCTCGCGCCCTCTGTAATGGCCTGGCATTTGCTACAACAGCTCAGCCGGAGACACAGACGAGTAAATCCGGAAAAGCTGCCACATGTGTTTCAGTGGGCGTCCTATCAGGGCGCTCCTGCAATACGCTTATCCTGGAACGAACCCAAGCTGTGGCAAGATGGGCTGTGAACAACGAAGATGTCAGCACAGGACGGAGCCCCAGAGACTGCGGCCTAACCCCGGGCTCCCCTAGCATGAAATTCTCCACCTTCACCAACGGGTGGAAGTAGACTGACCGTGGAAGTTGAGGACAAAGAAGCCCCCGTTGGAGAAGTCGCTGTGGAACTTGAGCAGGACCTGGCTGGCGGAGCTGTAGGCCGTCTCCAGCGCGGTGTTGCCGCTGAACACGCCCAGCTGGGGGGCGCTCTGGTCCGGGCCGTCCCTGGGGAGGCAGGGAGGGCGCTGGGGCGCGGCTCCTGGACTCCAGGGGCCGGGGACACGCGCTGAGGGATGGAGACACTCGCGGCCAGCCAGCCCCTTCCCTGGCGCTGTGCTTGGAGGGGCCCAACAGCCCGCGGCCGCCACAGGCGCCTCCGCGTCGGCGCGGGCAGCGCACAGGTCGGTGCGGGCCGCCCGTCCCGCCTTCGCGGGGGACCGCCCGCCGGCGGGTGCTGCTGTGGCTCCCTTTGCACTCGGCGGGTTTACGGTCCGCACGGTGGCTCAGCTCTCTGATTCTGCCCGTTCTCACGCCCAGGGCCCGCACGGCCACCTCCCGCGGGGATCTGCGCCCGCCGCCCCGGCCCTTCGCGCCTGCCAGACCGTGTCGCTCATGCCTCGCGCGGGCTCTTCTCAGCCTCAGCCCGCCCGCCCGCCGAGCCCTGCCCAACCGCCGAGCCCTCCCCGCCCGCCGAGCCCTGCCCGCACCCACGCCCGCCCGCCGAGCCCGCCCGCACCCACGCCCGCCCGCCGAGCCCTGCCCGCCTCGGCCTGCTCTGCCAGCTCTGCCGGGAGGTGTGCTGCACCACACAACACCACACACCACACAACACCACACACCACACACACACCACACAGACACACACACGACACACACAGACACACACACACACACCACACACCACACAACACCACACACCACACACCACACACACACCACACAACACACACACACCACACACCACACAGACACACACACGACACACACACAGACACACACACACCACACACCACACAACACCACACACACACCACACCCACACAGACACACACACCACACACACACAGACACACACACACACCACACACACAGACACACACACACCACACACCACACAACACCACACACACACCACACACCACACAGACACACACACGACACACACACAGACACACACACACACCACACTCACTATACTCACCAGACACACACACCACAGTCATCAAACACACACACTCACCACACACCACACAGACACACACAGGTATTCACGCACACACACCACTCACCACACACACACACCACACACACAGGTAGACATGCACACACACCACACACAGGTTATCACACACACCACTCACCACACACCACACAGACACACACACACCAGTCATCACACGCACACACTCACCACACACACTCACCACACGCTACACACACACACACCAGTCATCACACACACACTCACCACACATCACACACACCACTCACCACACGCCACACACACAGACACACACACCACACACACTCACCAACACCACACACAAACACAGACATGCACACCACAGTCATCACACTCACCACTCACCACACACACAGACACACACACCACAGTCATCACACACCCCACTCACCACACACTACACACACAGACACACACCACATACACCACACTCACCACACACCACACACACTCACCAACACCACACACAAACACAGACATGCACACCACAGTCATCACATGCACACACTCACCACACCACACACACTCACCACACACCACACACACAGACACACACCACAGTCATCACACACCCCACTCACCACACACCACACACACAGACACACACACCACATACACCACACTCACCACACACCACACACACTCACCACACACCACACACACAGACACACACACCACATACACCACACTCACCACACACACAGATGCGCAGACACTTCCCCACACAGAAACGCACACATAAACGAATGTCCAGCCAGACATACGCGTACCTGCATGACACACCACGCAGACTCACAGACAGACCCGCTACACGCACGTGCAGACAGCCCTGCATGCAGACGCAGGAGAGGACACGCGCGTTCACACACATGACCACACACATGCACAGCTGCCATCTGTGACACCCCTCTGCGTCCCTGGCAGTGTGTCCCAATGGCGCCTGCCTCCCCGTGGCCAGGGGACACTGTCCTCCTGCGCCCGGGCGGGAGAACGCGTCGGGCCCTGGAGGGAAAGGCGGAGGCGGGAAGGAGCCACGGCCCTAGGGGCCCGCCCGCCCGTGCCGCCACGTGCCCCGTGCCTGCCGCCGCCGTGCGCCCTTGCCGTGCCCCGTCCCCCCGTGCCGCATTGGCCCCCGTGCCCTGCCCGTGCGCCGCGTGCCGCTTGCCCCCCCGTGCTGCCCCCTGTGCCGCCGCCGTGCCGCCCTTGCCCCCGTGCCCCTGCCCGTGCCCGTGACCGCCCTTGCCGTGCTGCCCGTGCGCCGCGTGCCGCCCCTTCCCCCCGTGCTGCCGCGTTGCCGCCCCCTGCCGCCCTTGCCCCTGCCCCGTGGGCCCTTGCCCGTGCCCCGCTGGCCCGTGCCGCCCGCCGTGCGCCCCGTGCCGTGCCGCGCCGTGCGCCATGCGGCGTCCGTGCGCCCGTGCAACCGCGTGCCGCCCGCCGTGCGGCCCGCATGCCCCGTGCCCCGTTGCCCCCGCCGTGCGGCGCCCGTGGCCGTGCCGCCGCCTTGCCGCCCGCAGGCCGCAGGGGCGCCGGCAGCGCGTACAGAGGCGGGCGCTCCCACGCCCCTAAAGCGCCCCGCCATGGCGAAGGACCCTGCCAGCTGCTCTTTCAGAAAACAAAAATGCACTCGCAAACGTGAAATGAAATGGCCCTGGGACATTCTCGGGTGTAAGTCGCGCAGCAAAGCCAAAGGGCGTCAACTCCCTCTCCGCCCCTCGCGTGCGGGGAGTGCCTCCCGCCCTCACTGCGAGCGTCAACTCCCTCTCCGCCCCTCGCGTGCGGGGAGTGCCTCCCGCCCTCACTTCGAGTGTCAACTCCCTCTCCGCCCCGCGCCTGCGGGGAGTGCCTCCCGCCCTCACTTCGAGTGTCAACTCCCTCTCCGCCCCGCGCCTGCGGGGAGTGCCTCCCGCCCTCACCGCGAGCGCGGGCCTCACCACACCGCGATGTAGTCGTTGACCGCCTCCGTCTGCAGCAGCGTGAAGTTGATGTAGACCCCGTGCCCGGGCGGCGCCGAGATGAGCCACACGCAGTCCTTCAGGATCGGGTATTCGTCCGGGAACCCCGGGGAGTAGATGGTGCCGTTCTGAGAGGTCACGTTGTAGCCACAGGGGGCTGAAAGGAAGCAAAGAAAAAACTAGCCCGATACAGCTGATTTTAGAAAGTAGAAAGTTAAATCTGTTTGTCTCCAAAGTCCCTCAGCCGAAACTTTCCCTTAGAAGAAATAGCGATGAAGTATTTCTCAGCCGCTGCTTTGTCAAGATCATTCCCCGGGAATCTGAGAACCTTAGAGGAATTAAAATTCTAAGCTAAATTATCTAAGTTTTATTTACTATACTACCCAAATTTTCAAAATCCCTTTAGGATAGAGTCATTCCCACATGATTAAAAAAAAATCCTTAGTCAGTTATTACCTGTGACTGAGCTCAAAACTTACTGAGCCATCCAGTGCAATGGATTGTGTGGAAATTATGCATAAATATATAACTGCATTTTTAAGAAATGTGTTTCTTCAGAAATGTGTTTCTGAAGCCTATCTAAGCTGTCTAAAAGAGTGGCATCATGGCTGAGCGTGGTGGCTCAGGCCTGTCATCCTAGCACTCTGGGAGGCCAAGGCGGGAGGATGATTCAAGGTCAGGAGTTCGAAACCAGCCTGACCAAGATCGAGATCCCATCTCTGCTAAAAATAGAAATTAATTGGCCAACTAAAAATATATAGAAAAAATTTAGTCAGGCATGGTGGCGCATGCCTGTAGTCCCAGCTACTTGGGAGGCTGAAGCAAGAGGATCGCTTGAGGCAGGAGTTGGAGGTTGCTGTGAGCTAGGCTGATGTCATGGCACTCTAGCCCGGGCAACAGAGTGAGACTCTGCCTTAAATAAATAAATAAATAAATAAATAAATAAATAAATAAATAAATAAATGAGTGGCATCTAATAAACAAAGACATTATCAGTTCTTCCCAGATCTACACCTGAGGCTCTTCCAGGGCCGGCAAAGACCTGCTGCAAATGCTGTAGAATGCAGGTGGGCAGAGTGAAGATGACAAAACACATACAAAGATAGAAACAACGGTTTAATAGCAATTCCAACTGGTGGCTGATGAAATGCCGCACGACACGATATGAGACTTGGCTGAGTTATTTGCACAGATGCATGCTAAATTTCAAAGGACGCAGAAAATGCACCGGTGTACCACAGGCTGCCCCGAGATGTGGATGCATTTATCAGAAGGGACTGTTCAAAGGTTCACAGGGCAGTCAGCACTAAGTGGGGTTTGGAGTCAGACAAACCAGGATTTGCAACCTGGCAAAGTCAAATCGTAACCCAGAGAGCTTCCACTTCTGTAAATTCAATGAGGTGAGGCCGGGAACACTCAGGCCTACGGCCCTGGGGCAGGGCGGCCACCCACGCTGCGTTCACAGCTTGCTGCTTTCCTCCCCACCCTTGGCTGCCAGGCTGAATTTGTTTCTCCCTTCAAAACTCAACTCCAATGTCACCCATCGCCTCCGCCTCCTCCTTGAAGTCCTGCCCCCTACTCCGGGCTCTGGAGGGCCAGGTCTGCCCTCAGACCACGTGGCTGCAGTTTCAACAAAAGCCCCGGGAGGCAGGGACCCAGCCTCCCCCTCCCCCAGCCACGACCTCCTTTCCTCGGTCCCCACCGTCCGCCTCGGACCTGACAGACACTCAGTGATGAGTTGAGGATGAACAGAAAACACTTCGTTAACAGACACTGGGAAGCAACGAGGCCGCACCCTACTCATGTCTCCATGCTATTCGTTTAACGTCGGCACGACTCTAAGATTTGCCTTTTGCATTTTCGCTTTTCAAGTCGAATCTCATAGTTGCGTAGCAATATTATATGTAGTAGCGTCCTTCTTATTGAGGAAACAAAACAAAAATCATAGTCCCTACCTCTTAAAGGGTGAGATAAATGACGTGACAAAGTTTTGGTAGGACGACAGCCCCACGACATTGAGGGAGTCAGCAATTTATCTACGAAGTGCAAACAACACACCCTTTCATCCATTCACTCCCCAAGCATTTACTGGGCTCGACTGTGTGCCGTGCGAGCTCGGGCTGGGGCCACCAGTGCGCCGCGAGGCCTCGCCCGGCCTCTTGCAGAGACTGCCCAAGAGTGATGAAGAGAGACACCCACAGCCGCAAAGGAAAGGGCAGACTGGCGCCCTTGCTGCCTGAGATGACATTCAATGGGCGCACACAGAGTGCTCTCATAGCCGAGTTCTGGCGGCCTGCTGCTGTGTAGTCTGGAGATGAAGAAAGAGGAATCTAAAACACTAACAGTCAAAGTGCCGTCTCCATCTGCCCGGGGCTGATCTTCATCTGTTTCCAAAGGGGCCTTAACCTCCCCGCGGCCGCAGCGAAGCAGTGCTCGGGTCTCCGGCCCGGCTCCCTGAGCGCCGCAGCGCCCGCGGGCGTGCGCAGACTGGCTGGCAGCGCCGTGCCGCGCTCCGCCCCGACGGCAGGTGCAAAGCGGAGACCAGGGAGACCACGGACGGGACGCGGCTCCTCCGCGCGGAGCCCCGCAGGCGCCTCCCGGCTGCGCACCTGCCTCCCGGACTCTGGTCCCAGCCGACGAGGAAGACTTCGGCTGAGGCCGACAGCATCACCGGCGCGGTACGCGCCTCCGCTGGGCGTGACGGGCAGCCAAGCTCTCCTCCGCGTGGAGAGCCGCTCAGCCAGCAGACGCGCGCTCGTCTGCAGGCTCCTGTGGACACGGGCGCCGAGAGGCAAGAGAGGAGCCTGGGAGAGAGCGCCGCTGTGCAGAGCACCCGCCACGGGAGAACGTTCCCACCTCGCCATGCGTGCACTTTTCCAGAGAGAAGCACATCAAGGTGATGATGCCGCATATTTTGATCACATTCTGGAGCCAGCATCCCTATGTGGAAGGGAGGGGTGGTGGCGTCTAACGTGAATGTCACTCCCAGGTGCCCTCAGCCCCCTGCCCCTGCCCAGAGCCAGGACTCACCACTGCCTGTGAGATGAGAAGGGAAAGCTTCTAACACGCCGCTGTTTTCAGCATAAAAATGCAAATTGATTTAACATGCGTTTGTGCAAACTGATGCTTAAAGAGGAAGGATTCTTGTGTTAATCGTGTATATTAATTCTCATATTAGTTGCATTAATTGATTTTTAAAAAAGACACCCAGAGGTTATTCAAAGTATCTATGTTATCTTCTGAAGTTCTTTTGAAGTCTACAGGGCTGGAGCTTTGAAGATAGTTTTTCAGGGCACTTTCCCTCTATAGCAGCCAGAAATGTGAAATGAGAAACCACGGTGCATCAATCATGTACATTTGAGGTGAGGATGCCGGGCAGTCAGCAGCTGCTGCTCTCTCTGGGGAAGGTGTAACTGTTGTCGAACTGTACGTTAATACGTACCTGAACAGCCTGTTGTTCTTATAAACAGGAGTTGTTTTATTTAACCTTTCACAGGTAAAGTACCTTTTATTTTAAGTCATACCATCTCCTTAATTTTTTAATATAGATAGGATATTAATCACACATTGGCTGGCGCTTAGAAAATCCTTTATATAGTCCATCTACTAGCTAATTTATCATAATATTTACATTATGATTTTATATGTATTTTCCATGGAGTTTAAAGGCAATGCCATCTTTATTCTCTTTATGACATTATTGGTAAGAAGAGAAATGGTCAAAAGGCATGTTCAGTAAAGACTCTGGTCTTGCCCAGCGAGAGGTCCGGCCTCTGTCCTCACTCTGGCAGCCACGTCTCTGCGGAGGGCGGAGCTGCTCCCAGACAGTGACACTGGGCAGGGGCTGGCTACGCCAGGAAGACCACTGTGTGGACCAGGCCAGGGCACAGTGGTCCACCTGGAGGCTGGAGTCAGCCCTGTGGACAGGCTCATGCCTACTAGACCGCACCTGCTAGACTAGCCCATGCATTGTTTGCCCTGGCTGATTTCAACACATCCCCTCCCTGTTGGAAACTGTGACAATGCGCAGAATAGCTTCTAGTGAGTTCTGTGAGCTCCTCTAATCCAGTACGGAGCCTCAGCAGGTCTTGGGAGTCGGAAGGACTTTAGTCTCCCAGTGTGGCTGACTCTGCAGAAACAGTACATGCAATGATGAAGCTAGCAAAGACAGCGGTACCTATAAACGATATCCAGAAAGATCTATTTTGTTATTTTCATGCTGACAGAGTAAGGCTGAGCCAGAGCAGAACAGTTATTTCCATGTTGAAAAACTAAGCTTGGAAAAGCAATGACATTAAGTTAAATATTTAATTCTATTTTTTTTTTAATATCCAGCCAAGGAGTCTACCATTTACATATGAAGTTATAAGAATTTGGGCTAAAACTGCACATAAGAAGAGGTTACAATCCTGATAATTTCAAAGTAGTTTACACATATATATGAGATTTTAAAATGGAGAGTAGATTTAAGGTTTTTTTTAATGTGATGAAAAATACCCCAGATACGTAAATGCTATCCTTGGTTGTATAAAATTAATTTTTTAAATGCTATTTTATATTTAATTAAGTAAGTATTAGTGTAATATAAGGAAATTTTAAAAATATAGCTAAAGGGCTTTTTCCTAGTTGCTTTGATAATGATGTAGAATGGGAAAATACAGGTGAAAATTATGATTTTAAAAAGTCCACTGATGTGCTTTTTCTTTTACTTCTTCAGAAGAAATTCAAACACAGCTAGATGTCCTTCCCTCTCCCCATGGGATATAAGTTTAGTATTTCAAAGGTCCAGTGGTTGGTAATTTCATTATTTTTTCATTCAAAGGCACTGTGTTTAGAATGTCAGAATATTGAATTCACAGTAAATTCCCTGTTACCACGTGCATCCTTCCTTCATAAACACGGCACTGATCTATTTACATAGTTGATATTACAAAAACGTCTAAGTCATCAATAAAAATTAAGTGGCCATTCAGAAGCTATAAGGCAGGGATTCCAGCTCAGACGAGGGACATCAAATGAGTGTCCTGCCCCACCAGCCCAGCTCCCCGTTTCCAAGCTCTCCAAGATGCCCCATCATAGCGCACTGTTAAGCGGCACTTTTGTTTTCCTGAGACCGAATCTTTGTTTACACCATTTCTCCCACATGGAATGTTCTCCACCTGAGTAGCAAAACACTCTGCACGCTTCAGGGCCGATGCAAAAATTAACTCAGTTTTTATGAAACACAAAACCTCTATATGATTACCATGAAAGTTAAACAATTAAAAATACCTAAGACAAAATTACTAAGTACCTTTTCCCCTTATGATCCCACAATTTGGAGTAACCGCTGCAGAACTAAATGCCGCTGGCTGCAGAAAGATCTCTCTAATTCCCCAAGCACACGCCACCTTCTCACAACTCGTCATGGCTCTGCTTGTGTCTGCCTTTACACTGTGATTACTGGTGTGTGTCCTTTTGCATCCTTATAATCTCCTTGAGAACAAGGGCTGTTTTTTTGTTTTGTTTTTTTTAAACTTACTGGTATAGGATATACTCCATATAAGTGGAGTGAGTACAATAACATAATAGATGCTCAATAAATATTCACTGAATAAATTAATGAATTGTTGGATACGTTGGTTTAATGTTCAGCACACTGTTATGTCCATGAAAAGTGAAATGGCTCCCAGGAAACCGGTTCGCCTACCGTCACACCGTGGGAACGGATGGTTCCAGTTCCTGTTGACCCCATGCTGACAGGTGAGGACGGCCTGGCCGATGAGAATGTACCCAGGGTAGCACTGGAAGGACACGGACTGCCCCACGCTGTAGTCTGAGTTGATCATGTACCCGTTCTGGAACGGGGGTGGGTCTGGGCAGTTCTGCAGTTCGTAGGCTGAAACACACACACGGACGGCAGGTTAGACCAGTGTGGCATGCGGAGAAGGAATGGGATGACAAGCAGCTTCTTAAGGTTAAGTTTTTGGATGTAAGTTTTTTTTTTAAAAAATGTCTTTTCCAAGATGTCAGTTGCCATCCATGCCGAGTAAAACAATGATGGTTACTAGTAGTAGAATTATAACCCTGTGCATTTAATGAATACTTACTGTGTACTTCAGAAGGAACAGAGTGCACACGAAAAGCTGGAACCCATTCTACTAGGTGAAGTGTCCCAAGAATGGAAAAACAAGCACCACCTGTATTCACCAGCAAATTGGTATTAACGGATCAACACCTCAGTGGACACATAGGAATAACATCTATCGGGTGTCGGGCAGGTGGGGGGAGGGGATGGGCATATACATGCATAAGGAATGCGGTGTGCACCAACTGGGGGATGGACACGCTTGAAGCTCTGACTCTAGGGGGCAGAGGGGGAAGGGCAATATACCTAACCTTAACATTTGTACCCCCACAATACGCTGAAAAAATAAATATAAATAAATAAATAAATAAATAAATAAATAAATAAAAGAAATCTGAAAGTGTTTACTTTGGAGAGAAAGTATATGATATGAATTTTTTAAAAAGTAACAAAAATAATAACTTTAAAAGGCCCTATATAGAATGCTGGTCAAACAAACACATAATAATTCTCATTTAACTTAAACAAGAAATATACTGCCACTCTAAGTACTGCTACCTGGGAATTAAGTAGCTATTTTGTTTTGTTAAACTAATTTCATTAAATTTAATAGAAAAATCCAAATAAAATAGAAAAATCCATTCTATTTTCTTTAGTTGTTTCTTAAAAAGAAGAATAAAAGAGCTGTAGAGTCCCTAAACTAGCAATTGACTATCAGTACAACTTTTTACACCTTATGATTTATTGTGCTTTATCATTAAATTTTCTTGTGTTCCCTCGAATAAACTCTAGGTAGAGTGATAGATACTAGACTGTCCGTGCGATTTAAAAATGTACCTGTAAATTAGTATGAGTCAACTAATCCGTAAATTAGATGTGATCCCCTGATATTATAACCCTAAAGCTCAGGGGCCACCTGCAGAGGCGCCTGAGTGCCGCTGTGGGCGAGGGGTCGTGGCCCGTGAGCGCCGCACCAAGTGGCTAAACATTTCACGAAGTCACGCAGTTCTGTTATTATCAACAGCTTTTTCTTACTGGGCAAGCTATTGAAGTGGCATTTTTTTTCCTCTTTAAAATAACAATATGTAATAATAGCAGGGCATCTGGATAATTCGCTGGTGACAACATAAGTCCCACCCCGACTCTGAATCTAATGCCGCCCTGATGTGATGGCGGGCGCAGCTCCCGCGGTGATGCGAGCCATGGGGGCGGTAAACACAGGAAGCTTCGCTCCTCACCTGCCGCTCACGCATGCCCTGCGCCCGGCTCCCAACAGGCCGTGTGCAGCTCTAGAAGAATGTCAGTTTCACCCACACATTACCGTAGAGTCTATAACGAACACTCAGTGTGCTCACACACTCATTTTAGAATGAATTCCTCAGCTGCTCGTTGTGCATAAAGGCAGCTTAATCCTCCTGCAGAGGAATAATTGCTGTCCACAAACAACAGTCTGTTTTCTCATGAATTCAATTCGCATAAAATTCGGTCATTTTATGATTGTAGAGAAGAATGAGCAGATTTAACATATCCTCTTTTGGAAAACAGTGTTTAGTACATATAGCAACAGGAAGGGGAAAAACAGCGAAGCTTTGGAAAAAAATAAAACGTTTTTACATTCTACAGCTGAAGCACTTGAAATTATTATATTTTTAAGGTTTTCCGCACTAAATATTTTAGTTTCCTAGGGTGGGGGGGATGATTTTGTTTTATAATGAAGAAAAGAAAGAAAGAAGGAGGGAAGGAGGAAAGAAAAGAAGGAAGGAAGGAAGGGAAGGAGAGGGAGGAAAGGAGGGAGGGGAAGAAATCTCAACTTCTGCAAATGCCAGAAGCAAAAACAAAACGAAAAAGGAACTCACTAAAATGCTTAATATGCCACAATCTCACAAGTATTACGAAAATCTAAGTAACAATAAGCCCATAACACCACAAAGCAAGATAGCACACAAAATTTTTCCATTTTATCTTTCTTTAAGTAATCCTTTGTTTGGATCTGGAAAAACAACCATTAACCACGCCTCTCAATCTCAAGCAATATTCACATCAAGTGTTTAAATTATAAGTGCTTTAAGTGACAGCCAAAGAAATCATGCAGTCATTTTCCTAATATTTTCAGACTGATATCTAGTCCTTTATAAATATCTCCGCTCTGTCATCCATTTTCCAGTTCTCGACTTAGAAATAGAGTGCATGAACTTGATTTTATTTCACAAAGCTCTTCATCAGTCATTTCAACTTCAAGACAGCTATATCGAGAGTAGTATTTCTGACCTTTACACGCTCATAAATAAGTGACAAAGTTTGAGAATAAAGTGCACAATGCAGACATCATTGAAAATGACAAGAATTGTCCACATGATTTGTGTGTCTCCACACACATTATTAATTACACCCTCAGCTTATGAATCGCAAGTGGAACCCAGGAATGTTTATGGGGCTTACCTCTCACATTAAGTGTCATTGCACCAATTTACCAATTTTATAAAATGACAAACACTTTTAAACTATCTAATTAAGTATCACCCTGTCAGGCAGGATATACTACAGGAAAATAGAACAGCTCAAATCCATGCTCTCATTCCTTCTTATTTATGTTTATATCTCTGTTGTAGAGAATTAGTTGTGTATAACTAAAAAAAAAAAGTGTTTATGGATTTTTTAAATTTGGAAGCTGAGAGTCAGCTGTCAGGTAAATAAAGCATTTTCTCAAAGGACCAGAGGTTAGACCTGGCTGTGGACACACAAATTCTAACGTTTGCAGGCCAAGCAAGCAGCCTCGGTGAGCAGGACCAGCAGGAGGCTACAGGAAGCCTTGGAGGTCACTGTCCTCCCACTCTGGAGGTGGGGGGGGACTGCCCTATGAATCAACGCAGGCCCAGAGTTTCCAGATTCTGATATTGCAAGAGAAAGCGGACTGTGTCGGCAGCTCACCAATGATCTGACATCCAATTGACAGTTCACTTTTAAACTACTATATGTTTCGCCAGCGAATCACAGCCACCGTATGATGTCTGGCTTAGACAGGTCCTACGCGGACATTTTGCAGTTGGGTTTGTTTGTGGACTGTCCCTTTTAGATCCAAATTGTTGGTGGCTTGTGGAACCAGGTGGGCATGGCCTTAATAACCCCACCTAGAAACCATCAAGAGGAAAACCCACAAGAAAAGCATTTGTTTCTACATGACAGAGGTTAGAAATTATGAAACACGACCTGTACTTTCAGAACTACAGGGCACACGATGCCCCCCATAGGAATCTATACTTGAGTTTCTGTAACGTCAGCAAAGAAAGAGGAGGCAAGTGCTGAAGACAGCATGGAGAACGCGAGAAACTGGGGAGGCCCCAGCAGAGCTTGGCGTCAACCGAGGTAGCCCGACCACCTGGCAGCTCATGGTAGGAGACATGCAATTGCGTTATAGTTTTCTCGCTGGCGCAGATGTTAAGATCAAGCTAATTTTAAAATGAAGGCCGGGTGCGGTGGCTCACACCTGTCATCCCAGTACTCTGGGAGGCTGGGGTGGGCAGATCGCTTAAGGTGAGGAGTTCGAAACCAGCCTGAGCGAGAGCGAGACCCCGTCTCTACTAAAAAACAGAAAGAAATTAATTGGCCAACTAGAAATATATAGAAAAAAATTAGCCAGGCATGGTGGTGCATGCATGCCTGCAGTCCTAGCTACTCAGGAGGCTGAGGCAGGAGGATTGCTTGAGCCCAGGAGTTTGAGGTTGCTGTGAGCTAGGCTGACGCCACGGCACTCCAGCCTGGGCAACAGAGTGAGACTCTGTCTCAAAAAACAGAGAAAAAAATAAAAAATGAAGTGAAATGAAAATTACCATGTAATAGCCAAGTTTAAAATGATGGTCACAGCGGAATGTTTGTATTTCAGTAGAAGCAGCTCCGGTAGCAACAGGGGAGGGGCAGGGACCAGGTGTGCGCAGGTGTGCGCAAGTGTGCGGGGCCACAGCACTCCCATCGGGCGGAGGTCGCTTGAGCGTGAGGTCGGAAAGGGCGGCACAGTGAGAGGAAGCCCTAAGAATGCGTGTTCTTCACGTGGGATGCAGATGACTTCAGAATCGAGTGCCATCACCTTGCCTGCTCCTCTCAGCTCACCTGTGGCCCCGACAATCCCTCCTCTAGCCAAAGCCAGGGGATCCAACACCGGCCGCAAGGTCTCATTCTCAGTGCAAACCTGCTACGTGAACAAAGCCACTAGAGAGAGGGTCTTCCCTCTCCCACGTCCCCTCAGACTTCCGCAGATACCTCCGTTACAGAAAGTCTCCTGTTGGATTTTAATTTGCTATCAAAGCTACAGCGTTCTTACTAAATTGTGACATTGCCTGGTACAGCACCATGTCTTCTTTGTATTCCCACATCTTATTTTAATTTTAATTTATTTTTTAGTTCAGCCTATTACAGGGGCTACAGATGTTTAGGTTCCATATATTGCCCTTGCCCCACCCGAGTCAGAGCTTTGAGCGTGTCCATCCCCCACTCTCAGCCCAGAAACCCGGTGCACAGGTTAGAATGGGTAAGAGAAGCGAGGAAACAGGTGTGGAAACTGAGAAGGTTGATATAGAGGAGCATTCTGGGAATCAGCAGAAAGTAGGCTCTGGAGGAAGAGAAGAGGTCAAAGGTGCCTTACAAGTTATAGCTAAATAGGTGTGTGCGTGTGTGTGTGTGTGTGTGTATGAGAGAGACAGAGAAGGGGGTGAAGAGCGAGGGAGAGAGAGGGAGAGAGAATAAAAGAGACTTGAGCATATTTGAAATGCTTTTGGGAAAGGTCTAGCAGAGAGGTCTAGCTGCAAATGCAGAAGTGGAAGCTATTCCCTACCTAATGTTTCTGAAAGGGTAGAAGGAGAAGCACCTAGAGCACCCAATGGATTACCCTTATGGGGGAGGAAGGCTCTCTTCCATTTGAAAGGGAGAAATAGCAGAACACAGGTGCACCTGCAGGTAGATCTGCACCTGCCTTGTGGGAAGCTGCTTTCCCCATGATGTCTTTCTCTGGTGTGCGTGCGTGTGCATGTGTGCGTGCGTGTGCACAATGAAAGAGGCAGCGAGCTCATGGAGGATTTCTGGCGGTGCCTATAGACTGCGCTCAGCCGTCCAGCCTTTAGTGTCCTGTCTTTTTTACTGCCACCTGGATTTATGTTTTCAAGAGACCACCAGTTCTGGAAACCTATGTCTATGTCTTATATTCTAGATCAGAATTTCAGTAACAATGTCTGAGTTCAACATGCAACACTAGCCTCTTTCAGTGATAAAACATTAAAGCCCTGCTTCCAAGATCGGTCTGTGAAAATTAAGGAAAGCAAGCAATTTAGTCATGTTTAGGAAAACGCAGGATGTAACATTTTGACTTGATTTGATGTAGCGATGTTTGAGAAGAGGCTAGATAAATTATTTTGTACGATATGAAAATGCTGTGTTTTTTCACATGTCAAAAATGCTTCTATATGTAGCCTTAACACTTGTACCCCTATAATATACTAAAATAAGAAAAACCCAAAAATGTAAAAACAAAAACAAACAAACAAAAATGCTTCGATCATAGCGGATTGAAACTATTTTAAACGATTGCATATTTGGACGGATTAACAAAAAGATAAAGTTCGGTCACTAATTTTTTGTTGTTGTTGTCTTTTTCTCGCATGGCCTGCGCATGCCTTGGGCAGCACGCATGGCCGTTACGCTGTGCGGAGACAAGGCACGGACACAGGACAGACAGCACCAGACGCACTGCCCTTTGGGATCGACTGACTTCTGCAGGACGGGGCGGCCTGTGTCCTGAGGGACAGACGCCAAGAGGGACACAGTGCCCACTGAGGAGGCCACGTGGGGGCGGGACTCTGTGGCTGGACAGGCCCACGCCCACGGCCGTGGAAGAGCGTGTGGGAAGAGGCAGGCAGGGTGGGCAAGGTGCACACCGATCTGAGATCAGCAGCCTGTCTCAGCCTTCCGTGCGGCGTCCGCGCCCTCCCTGTGTGTCGGAGGACTGCCGAGTCCCCACTGCCCACCAGCGACCTGCTGAGTCCCACTAACAATGCTCCCGACTGGACGTGTTTTTAACCAGGTGGGGAGATTTACGTTTAAGCACAATTTAAATGCAAGACGCATGTTTAGGTTTGTTTTGTTTTGTTTTTTTGCTATTCATTCCTTACCTTGGTAAGCAAGTTTAAACCCCTGCCGGTTCTGCGAGTGGTCGCTGTAGAAGTGGATGAGCGTGTCGTGCGTGGTGCTGAGCAGGGCCGCGGGAAGGTCGGGGCCGCTGAACTGCCCGATCATGGGGCTGCTGTGGTAAGGCCCATTCTGGATTTCCAGGTAGTCGTGGTTGGCCTCGGTGGAAAAGTTGAGGAACTGGATATGTGCACCTGTGAAAAACAGGGAAAGGTCATGAATGTTCACGTCGAAATGCATGAAATCAATGCTTGTATTAATGAAAAGTGCTTAAAAATTTGCCAGTCTCCCCAGACAATCTCTCTCCATGAAACAGAACTGCTTGGCTGGGTGCAGTGGCTCAGGCCTGTCATCCTAGCACTCTGGGAGGCCGAGGTGGGAGGATCACTCAAGGTCAGGAGTTCAAAACCAGCCTGAGCAAGAGTGAGAGACCCGCCCCCCCACCCCCCTGGCTCTACTAAAAATAGAAAGAAATTAATTGGCCCACTAAAAATATATACAGAAAAAATTAGCCGGGCATGGTGGTGCATGCCTGTAGTCCCAGCTACTTGGGAGGCTGAGGCAGGAGGATCGCTTGAGCCCAGGACTCTGAGGTTGCTGTGAGCCAGGCTGACGCCACGGCACTCTACCCTGGGCAAAGAGACAAACAAACAAACAAACAAACAAACAAACAACCAGAACTGCTTAGTGGAGGAGAACAGCATTTTGGATGACAACAGACTGTGGTCCAATCTCACCTCTCTCACTACCCACTGTGTGAGCTCTGTCCACATAAGGAATGTCCGTAAATGAACTTATTTGTGAAATACGAACATCGCCACAATTGTAACACGGAGACAGACAAGGATGGTGCTTAGAAAGGGGACTAGTACACACATGCGTGGAAATAACGTTGCCCAGTTGCTGTTACAATTATTACAACCAGGAATACCAGGTTGTGAAACCTGTGTGGTGTCATCCATAAGTTCATTTAGGTCTTTGCCAAAAGAGAAGCCAATTTTAGTAAAAAAAAATAATGCAAAAAACTTTGAAAGTGGCTCTTACCTTAATTGGATGGTCATACCATTGCACAAGAGATTTATCAGTTTAGCAAGTGATTGTTTTTAATTGTGTTAGGCACACAAAGCAAATTACTGATGTTTGCCAAAACCCAATCCAACAAACGCCACTATAACTCCCACAATTAAATCTAACAGCCTGGTCCTGTTCAACATACCAGAAGACCGTTCCAATTACCAATATCTCTGGTATCATACTGATCTATGTACTAAATAAGTTATGGCTAATAACTTAAGAAAATAAAAAGAATTTAGAATTATTTGCTATGGCATTGTGACATTTTTGAAAATGTATTTGACCACTGTGTCTGAAATATTTTAGTGCCTTTATATAGTTCATAAACAGCTCCAAAGACATGGTTAGTCTTCTCATAAATCCATGCAGTTAAGTGGGCCAGTAAAACCCAAACTGAGAATGCTAATGGCTATTTTCTCCCAGTTTAGGACACAAGCTTTGGTTTGCTTTGCTCTTCTCCTGTTTTTGACAGATGAGAAGACTTTTATTTTTATTTTTCATCCACTATATTATGTTTCCTAGTTTGGGGAAATCAAAGGTAACACTCACATGAGTCATCCTGCTTACATGTAAATGCAGAGAAATGTTCGCACTAATGTATCTACTCAGCTGTCGAAGGAAAATGCAGTTATCAAAGGCCAGAATTCAGTAAGAGAAGGGAAGAGAAAAAGCTCCAGTAAGAAGTTGTAGGAAAGAAAAACCTAAAAGATTTTCACTATGGCGCTCAACGGGGGGTTGTGTTCACCAGAGATTCGGAGGGTGGGGGGATAGACCCACATCTGAGAGATGCGCCGAACAGTGTGGAGGGGAAGGGCATACCTCTCACCTTTGCTAAGTATAGGCAAAATTATAAAATCTAATCAAAATGCTATAAAAAAACATTTATCAGGTGTGGGGCAGGTGGGGGAGGGGATGGGTTTATATGTGTACATTACAAGTGCGTCGTGCATTGTCGGGGCATGGAGATGCTTGAAGCTCTGACTCGAGGAGGGAGGGAAGGCAATGGCAATGTATGTAACCTTAACATTTGTACCCCCTTATTATACTGAAATTTAAAAAAGCCTAAAATTACTCGATAAAATTTATAGTCATGTAAGAAAACCAGTTTCAATAATCATGGCGTCCACAGTGTGAGGGAGAAGGGAAGAGTGATCAGCGCGCTTCTGGTGGGGCATGGTGTAAGGGCAGCTGCCACGCCCAGGGCGCGATTTGCCAGCTAATTCTTTCCTCCTAAGGTAATCAATGTTATTATTATAATTTCACCTGTGAGCAAGCCGAGGCTCAGTAACCTTAGATGCAGTGTCTGACGTCAACACCGGCGCGAAAGGCGGAGACAGGTTTGCGCCCAGCTCTGACCGGCAGCGTCCTCGCCTTTTCCAGTTTAGCACGCAAATAGGCGCGACAAGAGCCAACAACCTCATTCTCTTAAAAATATATCCCACTGTTTCCTGGAGAAAATCAGGAATTATGCATTATGTTTGTCCAACCTACATCGAAGGAGGATGAATAAAAGGAAGTAGGATGTAGAAAACGTTGGGAGGAAGGGGGAAAAGACAGATCTTTAACAAGTCAACCAAAATGAGAAATTCTTTCTGGAGTGAGTGATTAGACTCATATGACAGAGAGGCTGAGTCTACACACCACTAGGACATCACCTGCCAGGTAAGGCATACCCCCTGTCTGTTGCTGTCTCGGCCATTCGAGCATCACCCACTGCAGATAACCAAGGAGGAGCAGCTCTTTAAACTGAAAACACTTCTGTAAACATCTGAATATGTCAAATATTGCTCTTTGTTGAACAGTTATCAATGAGCTATTTTTTCCCCTAAATTCAGCAAATATTTGTGGTCAGAAGAAATTCAGAAGCAGAAAAAAAAAAAGAAAAGAGAAAGGGAGGAAGGGCACGGGGGAGGAAGGAGAAGAGGAAGGCAAGTACCTCCCCCCACCCATGTCCCCTCCACACAGCTATGACAGGTGACAAGTGGACTCCTTGGTAGATCACACACCCAGATCTAACTTGTCTCCTCATCCATTGCTAAACCAAAGACATGGCTTTCTTTTGTGGCATGGCCCACAAACATAACAGAAATGAGTATGTCACTAATAAACTATACCAAAGAAGCACATGTGTGACTATTTTAGGACACTACATCCATCTGTGCCACAGAGTTGCATAAATATTCTCACATTCCTGAGAATGTGAGAATTAGGAAGCCCACACGGACTGATCAAAACCACCTGCTGCATTACTGACATTTCTATTTATGTCCAAAAAGAACTGGATAGAAAGGAAAACTAGGGCAAGATTAGAGCATTTAAAAATCAAATAGTTTAGGGAAATGGCTTAGCACGCGCTCATTTCGGATGTGCCTATGCAGACTTCAGATGCATTTACCCAGAGACACGTCCAGAAATCCACGGAGTGGCGAAGTCACGGAGGAAGATGAAAGACAGCAAGCAGATCAAGGCTGAAAAGAAAGCTGAGCTCGGCCCGAGCCTCAAGAGCGGAGGACGGAGTGAAAGTGGCTTTTTACTGATTTGGAATTAGATTTGAAATGGAAATGGAATTATGAAAATTATAATGTCGTGAACAAAATTACCATTTTAAGCAGGATAAATGATACAGCCATGTATCAAACCACCTAATTCGTATCAGGAAATAGAACATGGCTCAGCTCTAATCTGGCTTAAAATAGAATTATTTAGTCATCTAATTTTCAGCAAATTGCATCCAGTGTGACAACGCAAAGCCCAAATGAAGGGATTAAAATGAGCATAACCTAGTTATCCTTCTATTATCTCAGGGAATACTAAAAAAAATGTGTCATTATAAGAAAACCAATCTGAATGCTTATCTTTGGTAGAATTTACAGAGCACATTCTCATTTGACTGTACTTACGTATTGAAAATTAAGTGTCTCTTGGGATTGACAGAACTGGATAGTAAAGTGACTACGATTTCAGAGTTAAACCCTAGTTTTTAGTTGATAGAACTTGTGCATATTGATTGCTGATTTGTGTTTTCTGTGTGTGATAAACATATGGCAAAGGAGTTAAGGAGTTAATAGCTACGGGATTTCGGGGACATTCTAAGGAATCTTTACGTCATCTCTATGTTTCTAGCTGGCACAAAGGCATAGTGATCTGGACAGCAGCCTCGCTCACCGGGAAAGGTGGCCCAGGGCGGGCGGAGCCTGCCGTGTCTCTCCTCCTCTGACCTTCACCGCTATGAGAACCTGCCTCACAACACCGTGACCCTGAGAGCCACAGGACCATGTTGGAAACACCCTGAGTTATACATATCCCTGATGCGACCCCACACGGCCCTATCTTCCCATCTCCCTGGGAGAAGGTGGACTCACTCTGGAGAATCCCTGAGCCAACCCTGATGAAAGTGATTCAAAGGCCTCTGTTTCTTCTAGCACTAGCAGGATCACTGCCTCTCTGCTCAGAGGGTTTATATTCAGAAAAAGAACTAAAAAAACTGAAAAATCTGGAAGAAAACAAGGGCTCCTATTAATGGCACCCTTCCACGAGGAGTCGCTCCCTCACTCACCCACGCGCCCTGAGTGGCCTCCCAGGAACTCGCTGGAGTGAACTCACAGACCGTCCCCATGGGGCTGTTCCGTGCTGCTCCCTCCCCACGAGTAGCATTCCATGCATTTCCGTGTTCTCACACCCAGGGCCCTCCCGCCTCCCCGGCAGAGCAAGTCACCCTGGCCTGGCCATTCCTGCCACTGCCGTCCTAGGTACGGATTCCAAAGGCAAAAGCTTCAGAAACTTAATAAAAAATACCACCTTCTTCTACTGCAGTGATTGACATTGATGCTTGTATTCATTCATTACTAACATTTAACATGTGAGCTCCCCATCCACTGAGCACCTAACTTGGCCCACCAATACCAAGGGCTTCAGAGAAATCCACAGGTGGGGGAAGCCCAAATGAATGAACCAAAAGCACCCCAGGGAAGCCAGAGCACAGACACTGGGGAGCCAAATCTCAGAAAAGACCACGCATTTCTGAAGACAGGCCAGAAAGAATGAGGTTTTAGTGTTAAAACTATAAATTGTTATTTTAAGGCGAAGAATCTGAAAGTTAATAACTAAAGATTTTTAAAAA